ATATAAAGAGAAAAGGCATGGGGCATGTTATGACATGTCACAAATGGAAAAAAAAATCGCCATAGTTTTTGCTCCTTTAAATGGTTTATCTGGGCGTTATAAATGTAAGCTTGCATTTTCATTCAAATATAAATTTATTTAAGTTGTAGTTGTATTATTTGAATAATATTATAAAAATAAACTTCATATTTATCAACAGTAGGATTAGATCTTTTAAATGGTGTATGGGATGTAGTAGCAATAGCGTTTTACAAGCTTATAATTTCCTTCATAAACATAGGCTTCATCTATGACCTCAGAGTCTCTGGGAACTTCGGTGTCATGGCAGTAAATGCCTCTGGTTGACTGGTGTTGAAAGAGTTAATTGAGAATATTTCGCTCATATGACGATCGCGTGCATGCGTGTGTATGTGTATGTGCGGCTGCTTGTACTAGCCCAGACTGAAGCTGGTTTTATAGTGCTAGCCCACTGAGATACCATGCCGCAGTGAAGCATGAATACCCCACTCAGTATGGGGTATGGAGCCGACCAGTCCTTGTTGTACACATTGACAGGGACCAACAAGTACCATATTTTAACGTCTTTTGGTATGACTCGCCTCTTACGACAGACATGGGCTGCTGAAGACGGGTTCTAACGCAGACCTACACAGCAGTGATTATTTGTAGTTACAGAGATTGTAACTTAACAAAATAAATCACTCAGATGCACACTGTTGTGAGTGGCATAGGTAAGTGGCAAGTGGCCACCCCAATCTTCAGCAGCTCAACTAGCCTTCACATGACTCAAACATGGACTTAGCTGACATTCACTGGACAATCAGATTGATCCATTTTCAGCATAAATCATATCTGAATTTCATTCTTGTTCCAACATTACTAGATGTAACAGTCGATGTAACTTTCATTTTAAACGAATGAAGCCGCCACCATTTAATAACATTCAGCATACCGGGACCAATATTATTCGTAACCAAAAACGCGATTCTCCATATTAATATAGTTTCCATGAAGTGATGTCCCCTCTCATGGAATTTGCTGACATGTCAAATAAAACAAATTCTCAAATGTATGGTCTACAAGCCAATTGTGAATTAGGAAATTTGTATGTGGTATATGCCTGAACTGAGCCCTGGAAACATGATGGTGTAACTTGTTAGATACTAGCTAGTATCCAAATGATACGGGCCTATTATGCAAGGTATCCAAAAGGCAACTTAGATCCAGAATCCTGATTGGAAGACAAGCATGAGACACTCTGAAACTGCTCAGATCCAGAATCTCTACTAGGAGACAAGCATGAGGTATTGTGAAACTGTTCAGATCCAGAATCTCTACTTGGAGACAAGCATGAGGTATTGTGAAACTGCTCAGATCCAGAATCTCTTCTAGGAGACAAGCATGTGGTATTGTGAAACTGTTCAGATCCAGAATCTCTACTAGGAGACAAGCATGAGGTATTGTGAAACTGCTCAGATCCAGAATCTCTACTAGGAGACAAGCATGAGGTATTGTGAAACTGCTCAGATCCAGAATCTCTACTAGGAGACAAGCATGAGGTATTGTGAAACTGCTCAGATCCAGAATCTCTACTAGGAGACAAGCATGAGGTATTGTGAAACTGTTCAGATCCAGAATCTCTACTAGGAGACAAGTATGAGGTATGATGAAACTGTTCAGATCCAGAATCTCTACTTGGAGACAAGCATGAGGTATTGTGAAACTGCTCAGATCCAGAATCTCTACTTGGAGACAAGCATGAGGTATTGTGAAACTGTTCAGATCCAGAATCTCTACTTGGAGACAAGCATGAGGCATGGTTAAACTGTTCAGATCCAGAATCTCTAATTGGAGACAAGCATGAGGTATTGTGAAACTGCTCAGATCCAGAATCTCTACTTGGAGACAAGCATGAGGTATGGTGAAACTGTTCAGATCCAGAATCTCTACTTGGAGACAAGCATGAGGTATTGTGAAACTGCTCAGATCCAGAATCTCTACTTGGAGACAAGCATGAGGTATTGTGAAACTGCTCAGATCCAGAATCTCTACTAGGAGACAAGCATGAGACACTCTGAAACTGCTCAGATCCAGAATCTCTACTAGGAGACAAGCATGAGGTATTGTGAAACTGCTCAGATCCAGAATCTCTACTAGGAGACAAGCATAAGGTATGGTGAAACTGCTCAGATCCAGAATCTCTACTAGGAGACAAGTATGAGGTATGGTGAAACTGCTCAGATCCAGAATCTCTACTTGGAGACAAGCATGAGGTATTGTGAAACTGCTCAGATCCAGAATCTCTACTAGGAGACAAGCATAAGGTATTGTGAAACTGCTCAGATCCAGAATCTCTACTTGGAGACAAGCATGAGGTATTGTGAAACTGTTCAGATCCAGAATCTCTACTAGGAGACAAGCATGTGGTATTGTGAAACTGCTCAGATCCAGAATCTCTATTAGGAGACAAGCATGTGGTATTGTGAAACTGCTCAGATCCAGAATCTCTACTAGGAGACAAGCATGTGGTACAGGGTATCTATTCTGTCAAGAATCTCTACAGGGCAGGTTAGTTCACAGTACCAGATATTCTAGAGAGAACAATCAGCTGCTTGCTAAGCAGTTCTATGTCAGCTCTAATAATGAGCTCAAGATAAACTGAAAGACATCTCTGTTGCTCAGCACATATCCTTCATTAATTGTATCTCAGAACACAGAAGTGTAGCTTATGAATATGAGTATCTGTGTGAACTAAAGGTGTTTCTAAAGGTGTGACCATGTTGACCTCGGGACAAAGTTCATTCATCAAGCATTCATTCAAAGTATGAACTGAATCGGTCTATTGGTTTCCAATAGTCAGCTGGACGTGATCTTTCTGGACACAGGATCCATGATGTGTTACTGAGACCGACACATAAGTATATGACTTATACATGACCACTAATCCCATCTCCCTGTGAGGACTCCGTTTCAGCCCAAACCTAGTGGTGTTATGGGCTTGTCCAATTCAGTTGGTTCTGTTTCAACAAAGAACAACCCGTGCAGATCCGGGTTAGAATTGACCTAACTCATGCTTGTTGTAAGAGGCGACTAACCGGATCAGATGGTCAGGCTTGCTGACTTGGTTGATACATGTCATCGTATTCAAATTGCATAGATTGATGTTCATGCTGCTGATCACTGGATTGTCTGGTTCAGACTCGATTATTTACAGACCACCGCCATATAGCTTGAATATTGCTCAGAGCAGCATAAAACTAAATCACTCATTCAAAGAAGAACAAATTACACTTTTCATGGTCATTTTTCTATTGTTTTGGTTTAATGTTTAAAAACAACTGAGTGAGTGAGTAAGTTTAGTTTTATGCCGCTTTTAGCGATATTCCAGCAATATCACAGCAGGGGACACCAGAAATGGACTTCACGCACTGTACCCATGTGGGGAATTAAGCCTGGATCTTAAGCATGATGAGCAAACGCCTTAACCACAAGACTACCCCACTGCCCCTTTAATAACGAGCATGGCTTCACATCACTGTGTTCTGATAACTACTGTGATAAACAACTTGTGGTTTTTGTATTTGATTCAACGCTATTTACAAGAAGGGTTTCACTGAGACACAATGCTTTGATTGTAACTGATTGATCATCCTCTTGTAAACCCAAGCTACCCCTTGTTGTTGTAATGAGGCAGAGCTTGTATTAATGAAACTTCATATATCACTGTGAGTCATCTGGACGTGGGCGGAAAGTCTGATGTGATGCAGGTTCTAGGCCTTCTTCACTTTGGTGAAATCACAGGCTTACTTAGGATCCCAAATGGCTAAGTGCTCTTATCTGACAAACTTGGAAACAATTAATTACTTTGCAAAATTGTGAAGGTTTAAAGTGATTCATTCTAACTTCAAAGGTATTTTACCACTGCATCCAGTTATGCCACTGTTTCTTGGTTGTTTTAAAGAGACTTCTACAAAGCGGTAACAATTATGGTAGTTATGAACTTGAATAGACAAAATTATGCATTACGAAAGAATTACTGACATTTGCACTGGAAACCACAATCAGGAAATAATATCCAAACACCCTCCTCAACTACACATCCACCCTCATCACCCTGCTAGTGAACACTCCACAAGATTAGTGAAGATGTTTTGTTATTTACATGAAGGATACGCAATAGGAGTACTATGTTGGTAAGACTTCAGATTATCATTTGCTTTCTTCCAATTAATGATCAAGAATAAAAGATTTACCAATTCCCAAGGCAAGCAGTACCCCACCCTGAAGTACCCCACCCACCCTGCAGTATCCCCTACCTGCAGTATCCCCCACCCTGCAGTACCCCCATCGACCCTGCAGTATCCCCACCCTGCAGTACCCCCACCCTGCAGTACCCCACCTTGCAGTACCCCACCCTGCAGTACCCAACCCTGCAGTATCCCCACCCTGCAGTACCCCTACCCTGCAGTACCCCTACCTTGCAGTACCCCCACCCTGCAGTACGCCACATGTCATAAACCATGGGGCATCATCACACAAAGAGACCTTAGTGCAAAGACGATTGCAACTGGCTGCTTTAACATGAGACTTACAACATCTATAGCTCTGTGAAATCAGACCCTTGCTTGTCAGGTTTGGCTTTCGTAGGGCTACAGGTTGGAATCAGATTTCTAACACTTTTCTGCCTGTCATAAGAAGCTCCCAATTTGGATTCAATGGCCAGGCATGGCCAACGGATTGTCTATTTACATGGGGTTTGTTGAGTCACCTCCTGGATTCAAACCTACACTCTCAGAATGAGGACAGGGACAGAAAGTTAGCCACCTCACCTACTGAAACCACCAAGGCTTGCACTGAGTCTATACTGTCTCACCATTGTTCGGGGACATATGGATGATATATTTTTCATTGTTAACGTTTTTCTGGTACTAAATATCATTCTACATGTCACTCTACCCAGTCAGGATGCTAGGGTCTCACTCTTCCTCAATCATCCTCACCTTTCCTGTTTCCTTGCGCTGCTGTGACTGACTCCGGACTTCACTGTCCCTAGAACACACCTTGTCTTACACCTCACCATTAGATGCCATCCCAGCTCTTCTGCATGCTGCAGGTGAAAAGGAATAATGTACAGGAATACAATGGAAACTTGATACAAGCTGCAGGTGAAAAGGAATAATGTACAGGAAAACAATGGAAACTTGATACAAGCTGCAGGTGACAAGGAATAATGTACAGGAAAACAATGGAAAATTGATACAAGCTGCAGGTGACAAGGAATAATGTACAGGAAAACAATGGAAAATTGATACAAGCTGCAGGTGACAAGGAATAATGTACAGGAAAACAATGGAAATTTTATGCAAGCTGCAGGTGAAAAGGAATAATAAGATTGTTTGTTGGAGGTGCCTGCAGACTTACATAAGGCTCTAAACTTGTAACGCAATAATTATTTAGTTAAATCATAATGATATAACTTATAAGTAATAAGAACAAGTTCTCCCGATGAAAGACAGACTTCCTCTATGAAGAACAGATTTACCTTACTTTCCTGGACAACCATTCAGAAGGCTGATATTAATGGAGACAGGCTACCAAAGCTAATATTACCAGTATAACATAGAACAAAATTTAGCCTGTGGCAGTAAATTGCAACTTTCAAAATGTTCAAATTGGAATTGTGAAATGCGGAATTAGAATGGGACTCGTGTGACACCCAACACCAGCAGCTTCCTGTATGTAATGTTTCCATATACAACCATAGTGGCCATACCTACAGTAAACAAAACCATGCTTGTCAAACATGTGTGGGAAAGGTGATGGATGGGTCCAATTGTACTCAGGTTCATCAAAAAAGATCACAGATGAAAGAACATGGGCAATATATTATGAACGGTATCAATATACATACATCATTATTGCAACAATTGCCAGTGTCCTTTATTGCAATACGAAACTCAGATCAACAACTATCACTTGCACGCATGCGTTGGCGAGAGATACCCAAACAGACGCACCTTCAAGTCCTCTTAAAGCTACTCAAATGTTTGCTTGTATGTCTGTCTGTCTGCTGTTTGAGGCCACAGTCTTGCCATGGGTTCCTCTCAGTCTCGGATTGGTCTTTTCATGGATTAAAAGTCTTGGGTCCCCGCTCAGTCTAGGATCAGTCTTGCCATGGGTTCCTCTCAGTCGGGGATTGGTCTTGTCATGGGATAAAGTCAGTCTGGGATCGGTCTTGTCATGGGTACCTCTCAGTCTGGGATTGGTCTTGTCATGGGTCCCCTCTCAGTCTGGGATTGGTCTTGTCATTGGTCCCCTCTCAGTCTGGGATTGGTCTTGTCATGGGTCCCCTCTCAGTCTGGGATCGGTCTTGCCATGAGTACCTCTCAGTCTGGGATCGGTCTTGTCATGGGTTAAAGTCAGTCTGAGATCGGTCTTGTCATTGGTCCCCTCTCAGTCTGGGATTGGTCTTGTCATGGGTCCCCTCTCAGTCTGGGATCGGTCTTGTCATGGGTCCCCGCTCAGTCTGAGATCGGTCTTGTCATGGGTCCCCGCTCAGTCTGGGATCGGTCTTGTCATGGGTCCCCTCTCAGTCTGGGATTGGTCTTGTCATGGGTCCCCTCTCAGTATGGGATTGGTCTTGTCATGGGTCCCCTCTCAGTCTGGGATCCGTCTTGTCATGGGTCCCCTCTCAGTCTGGGATCCGTCTTGTCATGGGTCCCCTCTCAGTCTGGGATTGGTCTTGTCATGGGTCCCCTCTCAGTCTGGGATTGGTCTTGTCATGGGATAAAGTCAGTCTGGGATCAGTCTTGTCATGGGTCCCCCTCAGTCTGGGATTGGTCTTGTCATGGGACCCTGTCAGTCTAGGATCAGTCTTGTCATCGGTCTCCGTCAGTCTGGGATCAGTCTTGTCATGGGTCCTCTCTCAGTCTGGGATTGGTCTTGTCATGGGACCCTGTCAGTCTAGGATCAGTCTTGTCATCGGTCTCCGTCAGTCTGGGATCCGTCTTGTCATGGGTCCTCTCTCAGTCTGGGATCAGTCTTGTCAAGGGTTCCTCTCTCAGTCTGGGATCAGTCTTGTCAAGGGTTCCTCACAGTCTGGGATCAGTCTTGTCAAGGGTCCCTCTCAGTCTAGGATCAGTCTTGTCAAGGGTTCCTCTCTCAGTCTAGGATCAGTCTTGTCAAGGTTTCCTCACAGTCTGGGATCAGTCTTGTCAAGGTTTCCTCACAGTCTGGGATCAGTCTTGTCAAGAGTTCCTCTCTCAGTCTGGGATCAGTCTTGTCAAGGTTTCCTCTCAGTCTAGGATCAGCCTGGTCATGCGTCCCCTGATTATCCAATGCACTATAGCATACAACATACAAGTAGGTCAATCAACTTGATCACAAGTAGAGTTGTAAATTTTCTATGTCCAAATCAAAACCTGCAGAAAGTCAACACAAGTGACTACAATCTGGTCTATGTTATCACTTTCCTGAATTAACAAGTACCCTGCCACAGACTGGGCACAAACAACAGTAGGTGCAACACATGAACTTATATCAGCGAGACAGCAGGTTCATGTCCAAATACCTCTCATACTTCATGTATGCTGTTAATAAGGGAAGATACTCCTCTATATTGTATGGAGATAGGTTGTGCCAAATCGATTGCTTAAGACAAGGGAAGTATTACATTGAGAACGAAGAACACATATTATTCATCTGTGAACAATATCATCAGTTGTGGCATAACATACTGGGCATATCTACATGTACTTCTGATACTACATTTGTTAACTTTATATCAGCTCAAGACTTCAGTCAGTTGAGAAAGATTTCCTTTTATTTATATAAGGTCCAGCAAATTATTGACAGGAGTAAAAGTAATTTATATAAATTTTCCAAGGTCTTATAATGTATCCTCTACAATATGCAGAATTAATATGTCAATATGATTGTATTTTGGGCCAGTGGCCTTTATACTGAATAAATATCTGTCTGTCTGTCTGTCTGTCTGTACCATAAGACATTAAGGATGACCATGATGTCCGAGAACAGGGACAGTTTCTGCAGTGGTTCAGCAGTGATAGAAACTACTGGTCGCCAGCTCGCCAAATGCGACTGAATGTGCATTGGGGCGACCAAGTTTTTAAAAATGCACAATTTTGTCTGGGCAACTAGATTTATCTTTACGTGTCAAATAAAATGTATGTAATTCATATGCTTTTTCAGATGTTTAATCACTTATCAATTGCTTGAATAAATCGTGAATACCTTAAAACATCGAGAAAAGTGCGTGCTGGTGACGATACCGCCATATTTACATCCGGGTTGGCACTGATGTACTACTGTATTTGATTGGCTTAGATAGTAACAGTAGCCAATCAGGAAACGTCTTGTTTATACGGCTCACTTTCCCAACATGGCGGAAGCTTGGTTATTTCTCAAACGCCAGCCGGCAAAGCACCCGGCGAGCAAATATGCCAAGTAAATTATTCTCTAGATATTTTTTATCGTGAAATCACATACATGCAATAATTTGAATATGACTTTCATTCATCAAAACACTGATAGAATGCATATGTTGCGATGGATTGATCTGTTCGTAGAGGGTGTACACTGTAAAATCTGATCGGCTATGACATTGATACTGTGATAACTTATATTTTTGTTAACATTATTTAGTTTCAAATCATATATTTAGGTTACTTTCAGTATTAGATCGAGCCTTCTGTTATACAAATAGAATGTTTACCGACTGATTAAAATTCATTTTCGATTTCCTACATACGAATTGAAGACATATATTTTAGTGAGTCACGTTTAATAAAGTTATAACTGGTGATAAATTGATAAAAGTATATGATAAATAAATTAGAAAAATATTATGATCACTTGTAGGGAATTGAAATTTATAAACATTTTGACATTATCTGAAATGAATTTCAGTTATACATCTATAATACATGATCTACACTGATTCTACAGACAGTGAAACAGTTGACATTCTACAAGTGAATGTCATAGTAATTTTGTTTCATATCTTTTTATTGATCATGTCATTTATGTATGATGATAATGATAGTCCTCATGAAGAGGATGTTGACGACATGTTCTTTAAAGAAGGTGTCTTGCAGACATTTGTGCAGTAGTTGTTGCTGAAGAAACTGTTACTCTTCAGCGCTCGATTTAAGATATGTTAACCTACTTGCACCAGGTGCAACCTAAGATAAAAATCTAGTTTCACCAGCCAAATTCCAGTTGCACTGCATTAATAGCAATATTTAATGTAAGAAATATGCTTAATATATTTAATGAAAGAAATATGAAATTATTTAGATGTTTTATTCAGTGTTTATCCACTCAAAAAACGAGTTGCACCTGGTGCAAGTTAGACAAATATCTAGGTTGCACTTTGTAATTTTGGGTTGCACCAGTGTACGTAACAAAGCACTAAATCGAGCCCTGCTCTTACAAAGATAATAAACTTTCAAAGATAATAAACCGTTTCACCTAAATTCATGACTTGTGTTAGTTTGTACTAAATTTATTTGGGCCACCAAAAGGTGGTTTGGGCCACTAACTTTCAAAAAGTGGTGGCCAGACATTTGGGCCACTAGAGCTTTTGAACGAGTTTCTATCACTGGTTCAGTGTATCACTCTGCCCAGTAAGCAGCCAGGCAATCTGCCCTGATTCATACATGCTACAAAGACCTGCCGATTTAACAACAACCAAGACCATCTGGGCGTGGTGGAAAAAACTGAAAAACGCGGAGGAATAACCAATAATCAAGCCATACACAATAATAAAACCAAAGTGCAGAAAATCATGTCGGCAACTAACACCGATGATCTGGAAATGTCCATTATGTTTACTAATGATCAAACTCTACAAACCCATGACTTGGATTGAGAAAGACGATCATAAGGAGGCCCCGAGGATATTTATTCCACCGATTCCAGATATGAGTCAAGAAAGTCATTGATTTTTAGGTACACGGCTGTCGATCTGACCGTTAATTTCATTGCAGAAAGAGCTGGATCTTTTACACACATTGATTTTCTGAGTATTTTTAGATTCCATTTTTAACTCAGTAAACACGAGGAAAAAGAATATTTGAAAATTAC